TGGCGTATAAAATTTGAAAGGGTGAGGGAAAATGGCTTCTCTAGACTGCAAGGTCTTTGGGTGCTGCGTGAGATTGTTTTCCCAATCATTATGAAGCTGCTTACTGCATTATGTGTTCCCTACGTTTTAGCAAGAGGCGTGTTTCCAGTATTTGGGTACCCGTTAGTGGTTAACTCAGCTGTCTATCGATTTGCCTGGTTGGGATGCCTTAGCTTTAGTCTGCTTTTCTTTTGTGCGAAGCGCTTCCATATCTGGTTCACCAACCTCCACAATTCTATACGTGATGACCGGTATTTGATTGGTCGTAGACTCCACGACTACGGGGAGAACTTAGACGAGAAGCAAAATGGTTCTCTTGTTGCCCTAGAGGCTCGAAGTTCAAATGCAAGTGGTATTGGCATGATTCAGCAGAATCAGGAAGCTGCAGATGTAGGGATAAGGCAGAGGCATGTTCGCCTGGATGCATAAATTTAGCACATTGAATGGCTGCTGTACTACGTGTGAGTCGTTGAATTAGAAAATGTGATACCAGGTTGTCGGGGTGTTATGGTATTCGAGTTTTGTGAATATAATTTGTCAGAGATTCTTTATGTAGGAATTAGTGAGATGGTTTGTAGATAGCTTATTTATTTAACATGTGATTGTGTAATCGAAGAGTTGCCGTGGTGCTATTAACTATAACAAAAATAATTGCAAATTATTTTGCTTGTGATTTAACTGATTGTTGAATAAGATATCTTTGAGTTCTTTAAGGTAGCTTGAAATTCAATATCGGGATGATTGATGCCCAATTTTGACAGTAAGATGATTCGTGATTCTCCCGCTTGCCTTTTTCGTTTAGCCAACTCTATTATATCAAGGAAATGAGGAAACGGATGTCAATTGAATTATATCAAACAAGGGCCAAGTGGCACTCCCTATTGGTGGGGTGTTTGTGGGTCTTGTTCAAATAGGGGGGCCAGGCACCCCACCAATGGGGGTCACCACTTGGCCCCGCATTGGAACAGGTAACATGTGGCCTTATTCAAGTAGCAAGGTTCATGTCAATTTGACACTAGGTAACATTAGGTATCTGTAGAAGTTGTTTGTACTCGTCATTTCATTGAAATTAAGTTGGTGTCGTGTACAAGATTCAAGAGTGTTATTGTTACATAAGAATTAATGTTTTACAAAATTGTGTTACTTATTCTTTGATTCGTAGGGTAACGTGCGTTACCTATTGGGTAATATAAACGTCACTTCCATTTTGAATCTAACACCACCCCACCCAATGCTATTTGGTTTTTGCTACATTTACGTCAGGGTTTACACATCAATGTGCATAATGCCCAAGAGGTATTTTCATCATTGACAGATGAAAAAAACTGCATGTAGAATAATTCATGCTATTTATATCTCGCACTTACCCGTATCTTTCCATTTCTTCGGAATTGTCTGCTCATAGCACGATGTAAGTGTCCAATTATAGCCCGGCTTGCCACTTCAATGGCTTGATGTTAAAGACAACCACCTCTACAATTTTTATACTCATCTTCCAAAACAAGTTGTGTAGAGTACGGTTTGCAATCCCTACTACATCCGCCTTTACAAAATTTACTATATTTAGTACGTTTCGCATATAACACACCCCTCGCAATGGTTCGAGAAAATAAAAGGTTTTCAGAAGTTATGAATAAAGTGACTTGGAAATTTGTTGAAAATTAAAACTCCCTAAGGAATTGCTATAAAAAGAACCGTAATAAATCTTTATGCAAATATTTATTATGCATTCAGCAAATCACAAAAAAAACATAGTTTACTGAAAGGCGTTGGAGACTTTCCAGCGCCTTAAACATCCAAAAACTGGATACAACACCGTGGCATCAAAAGAAATGGAAATGCACAGGTTCTTGATTATTTCCTCACAAAACCCAGTCAGTCCACCTTCTGTATCAAAGTTTAGCTCAACAATGTAACAAAATAAAGTTCTTGTACAGTACATAATTCCACCTTCATTCGACAGACATAGGCAACTATTCATTCAATGTCAATGGTGCGACCTGTTCATCCAGGCTGCTAGCCTCATGCTGAGGCGCATTCCTCAGGACCTGCATAGCCTCTGCAACCTTGGCTTTAAGCGCGTCTGGTGACTCCATCAAGTGTAAAACCTCTGTTTGGTCCATTTCCAAAAGCATGCCGGTCACCTTAGCTGCTGATTCAGGCTCCAACTGATGGATAAGTGGATATAAATTCTCACCCAACATCTGCAAGCATAGACATGGGATATAGCACGTTATGGAAACAATAACAAGTGATTTTTGAGATAGGACATGCCATTTAGTGTGTCCAACTCATGTTCTAGAGTGTAAACTATGCACGTCACATTTAGAGGAGAATCCAAGCTTCAAAGTCATTTTTTTATGAGAACAAGTTTAAAAGGATATGGATTGAAATATTGAATGCTTACCATCCTGTGTTCTGAAGGGGGCGCATTTGCAAGGGCAGAAGCCAAAGTTTGAACTGGAATTCTCTGAGAAATCCGCACATCACGCAGTTGAGGGCTGCCTATGTCACGTGGAAGGGCAAACCTGTCTAGTCCAGAGACACCTTGCACAGAAACATTAGGCTGAGGATATCGATACGCACGTCCCCTTGAAATCACCTGTGCCATAGCAATGCTTGATGCTTCATAAAATGTTTCAAGAAAGAAAGGCACAACTGAAAATGCCACTAACCTGTTGCTGCATCACTGGAAATGGCTGTAGGCTCTGCTGTACAGAGTCGACACTGGAGCGTCTGCCACTGGGGTACAACCCTGGCTGTCCTGGCTGAACCAGATTTGGCATGAATGACCCAATAGGTCTCATGCCCTGAACAAACTGCATTTAAATTCCAAAATCATCCCAATTCATAACTGGTATAAGCACAAGTCAAAAACTTAAATAACTTGCAAGTCTACCAAGTAAATTGCAGGTTTAGCACCGATATCATTTTTCCCAGGATAGATAAATATTCCTTTAACCAATAAATAATGTTGCTTCATGTCGACATAAAAATGAAAGAATATCTCAAACATCTGAAATTTTGACCAAAAGATATACTGTCAACAATGTAATATACCATAGGAGAAATTATAGAAGGTCCAGTATGTCCATAGTATATCTGTTGCCCCGGTCCAGGACTACCAGGAGTGTACATTGGCATATGTGGAGTGACTGGAGTACTTGGCTGCATCTGAGAGAATTGAGCCTGGAAAATATAATCAATAGAACCAACAATTTCATTTAATTTTACAAAATATGTACTAAAACTGAGAGCAACTCTGAGCACATTGTATACTATGATAGCCAAAGTGCCAATAACTTGATTGAATATGAGAGATAATTCCACGAGAATATTGAGAACATTGATATCGAGTTCTATGTTATCTGTCATTATTTCTCAGGTTTATAACGTGAAAGCATAGATTGGAGAGGAAAAATGAAATCGTAGAAACATACCTGTAACCTTGCTGTTCTAACTTCCTTCCTTTCTGCAATAGCAACATAAAGAGGTTTGCTACCAATCATCTTCTTATTCATTTCCGAGATCTACAGTAACAAAAAACTTATTAGGCCTTTGACAGAAAAATGAATATGGCTTGTACGTAAGAGGGGCTTGTCAATAGTAAATTTAAACAAATAAACGTGTCCCCATTCTAACAGCTTAAACTCTTAGACGAAGTGGTTCAATAATACTTACTGCTTTGGAAGCCTCTTCACGAGTCGAGAATGCAACAAAGCCTGAGCCTTTTGTTATCCCTTTTGCATCACAGTTAACCTGCATTATAGTAGATTTAGTAAACTATAGTCTACAAAAAAACACAATTAAAAGATCGACAACAAAGACATTTTACACGAACCTTGCATGATGTTACAACACCAAATTGAGAAAACAATTCCTTAAGCTTATCATCGTCAATGCTGTCATCTAGATTCTTGATATAGAGGTTGCTTAATCCTAACGATCTTTCACGTGCCTCTTTCTCAGCCTGCTCAAGTTGGAGTCTTAATTCACGTTCCCTCTCTGATTTCTTTTTGGCTCGTCCAACATACCATTCCTTGTCATCAAATTTCTTACCATTAAGAGATTCAACACATTTAACAGCATCCTCAGCATTCTCAAAGTTCACAAATCCAAAGCATTTCGAATTTCCATCTTCATCCCTCATCACCGCTATACTGGTAATCGATCCAAATTCACCAAATATTTTCTTCAGATCTTCTTCACTTATTGATTCAGACAAATTCTTTACAAACACATTGGTAAAATTTGTCTTGTTCTCTCTTTCTTGCTTGCTAACAAAATGTCCTACATAGACTTTCTTGCCATTCAATAACATGCCATTCTGTTTAATAGCTGCTTGGGCAGCTTCCTCGGTATCATATTGCACGAAACCATAGCCCTTAGACTGACCAGACGTATCTGTTTCAACTTTGGACGAAACTATGTTCCCAAATACAGAAAATATCCCATAGAGTACCTTGTTATCAATTGCTATGTCCAAATTCTGCAAGATCAAAATATATATTAATTTCTTCAAAATTAAGCAAAAGAATAAACTAAGGGAAAAAGAGTACCTTAACAAATATATTTGCAGCACTACTACTACGTGAGCTCGAGTCTCGATTAGAATATGATATTCGGATAGGTTTTCCATTTAGATTAGTGAAGTTCAGCTCCTTCAAGGCTCTCGCAGCTATTATGAACACAAAAGAAAAGGGATATTAGGCCTACCAGGAAAGAAAAGGGAGCAAAGAAATTTCAAAGTTCCAAGCAGGTGACGAAGCTAAAATGGAGACCAAGACAGTGTCAAGTTAAAGGATGCTCAAACATTAAAAATTTCAAATATTTTTTTAGCTTGCAACTTAGATCATTTTTCTCCATTGGGTTCAATTTGCTCCAGAATTATACAAAAAATTGAAATATTATTGAGTGAGATCTGAGCAAATAATACTAAATATTCATTGAACACAAGCCATATCATAATATAGGATTCAAGGACAGTTCTTCCACTCTTCTACCTACCATCATTTTAGATTAATCCCTTCCTAGCATTTGTCCATAACATTCAGTTTTCTTGGAGCGGAGACTAAACTTAAATAAATAAATAAATATTATCTCTAATAGCATAGCATCAGATCAAACATATCAAGTTTCCCCGGGATCCGATTATCAAGATTGACAATCTTCGTAATCACCTTTTTATCAAAATAGACTTGCTCGAATTCCTCGTCACAAGACTCACAACTTAAACTTTTAGAGAAGGTACGCGATTAATTTCATGGATTCAGTCCAATAACACGACTAAATAAAACAAAAAACATAAGAACTATTCTTTGTTTAGAAAAAAGAAACATAGAATTAAAGCATACCATCTTGAGGGTTACTAAAATTAACATAACCATATCCAAGTGACCGCTCGGTAGTATGGTCCATGCAAATTTTAACCGACATCACGTCTCCCTTTTGGCCGAACACCTCTTTTAACCCGGACTCGGTCACGTTCGGATCGAGGTCACCCACGTAAAGCGCTGTCACTGGCTGTGATCCGCCGTCTGTGATTGCCGCCATCTAAACTCAAATAATTTCTCTTTTTCTGAAAAAAGAAATTCTTGTATTTTCCGTCACGGAGGTGGTGGCTTCCGCAGCGGATGGAGGCGGCGACGGCGACTAGGGTAGAATAAAGTAGGAGAGGAATAAAAATTTGAAGAGCAACTTCGAAAAACACGCTCGGTAGAACTGAAGCTGGCATGTTTTTTTATAGTTGATGGAGGTTCGAACGTGGGTCCCACAAACTGGGTTCAGTAGGCGTACTTGGGACATTACGAAACGAGTTTTGCTCCGTGTACATCGAGATTGAAAAAACATTATTTTAAATAAAGAGTAGGAATTTTTTTTCATTTTATGCGTAAAATATTTTATTATTAATTTGTTATTTGTTGATCACGTGTTCCACTTTATTTGAAACGAGGTATGTTTTCATCAAGGTCATGTAGCAGTTCAATGAAATTTATGATGATTTATATCGTAAATAACTAATTATTTGACAATAATGAAAGCTTAAGGATCAATGTCTTGTTATTCACACAATAGGTAGGGAACAATGTTTGCAACTTTTTGTCAGGCATAAGGTTAAATTAATTTCAAGAATTTACGAACACGAAAAAGACAAAAAGAAGAAGAAGAAGATAGAGAGAGACAGAGAAGACAACCTGCAAATCTTGAGTTCGTATCAACTCGAATAATTGGTCAGTTGAGAGTCAAAATGTTCGAGTTGAGGGACAAGTGAGGTTCCGTAGCTAGATGAAGTAAACGTGATTTTATATTTTATTTTATTTTTTCTAGAAAATTGCTTTAATAAGGGTACACATATAATTTTTTGTCAAATTTTGAAAAAAAGAATGACAAAAATTATGTGGAATGCCATATATATTTGAAAAAAAATGGCTATAATGACAAAAATATATCATCTCGATCTAAAAGCGATTTTATGAAAAAAATTCTTACATATTAGAATGTAACATATATCATATATGGAGGAAAAGAAGAAGAAGACGACGAAGAAAAAGAAAGTGAAAAAAAAAATAATAAAAAAATTCGTACTTTAACATTATTATTCATTTTCTATGCTTGTATCAGTTGTATGGTGTAGTGAAATACTTTTAAATAAAATAAGTATCCCACCTAACATACCTTTCTATCTTCTGCCAACCGCCTCTTGACCCGTTGAGTTAATTAATTAATTATTTTAAGAGTAATGTTATTCATCTCTAGTCAGGATGAAAGCACAGTTTAGGTGATTTTAAATTGATAGATTAACTGAAAGGTGAAATTAAATGACTTATTTAATTTCACTTATAATTTAATAACACATTAACGTCACATAGACTGTATTTTCATTTCCAGTGGGGATGAATAGCATTACTCTTATTTTAAACATTATTTCTTAATTTTGAAATTTATCATACTTAATTTTTTATACATGATTTTTTCCGTTTCATTAATGCTTTGTTTCGAGGATTCTTTTAACTTATTGGTAATTAATTAATTAAATATATTAAGGTCACAATTATATACAATTTGGTCACAAATTAAAATTTTGTTAGGTCACAAATCAAAAAATTTACATATCTCACTTTATTTATTGGTCACAAATTAAAATTTTATATATCACAAATTTTAGAGGTCACAACTTAGTTAACGGTTACAAATTATAAAATTAATTAGTCACAAGGTATTTTTCAGTTACAACTTAATAAATTGTAAGTCACAATCACATTTTTTAGATCATATATTATTTTATTGGTCACAATTTAACTAATTTATTGGTCACGGTCAATCAAATAATTGGACACAAACACCCCTATCCCACCACAACGATCACCAGCAACACCGCCACTGCCACCTCCTCGCTGGACCACTACTTCACCGCCACAACCAACATCACAACCATCACCATTGAAAGACCCCAAAAAAATTAGATCCTAGGTCGGACTTCACAGCAACTGCAATACTGCGCCACAACCACCACCAACTCACCAGATCGCCACATCACCACCACCATCGCCACCGTAACCAATATCACAACCATCGTTAATTGTACAAAGTGGCCACCGCCCCCATCACCGCTTCGATCCCCAACTCCTAATAGATTCCTCCAATCCACCATACATCTCTCTCCCTAACACACCACAAGTCCAGCCTCCGACGACCACTTCAAACGCCGACATCTCTATCTACAGCACAGCCCGTTGGCACACCACACAGCACAAGCCCATTTAAACATCCAACCGTAATAAGGCCTATGAATCAAATAATAGATTACATTTTCTATTGATTTAATTTCCATAAAAATTCTGACCTTAATAAGGTTTTCGCTTAGGAATTAGGACCCTCAAGTTGTTTGACTCGTCTCTGATAATCAATCATAGGGAAAACTTTATATTAGTTTGATACGATTTTATCTTCAACGAACTTATCGTATTGAAGAAAAGTTACTCTATTTCGAAATAATAGTGAAAATTGAATCCGTTAACATCTCAAAAAGAAAAGTTGCAATTTTTTTCGGTCCCTACCTTAGATAGAATAGAATGGTCTCGTCATAGCATTACAATTCAAAACTTTCTAACAACCAAACTACTACGTTGGAACAACAATGTAAATGGTCCAATATTCAACAATAAAAGGAATCACTTTTGACAAATTATGGTTTGTCTTCTATCAGATCATTGTCTATTCATTTAATAAATTAATATAATATAAATATTCATGATAACGTAAAACAAATAGAGTACGACAAATACAGAAAAAATTATTAAATTCGAGACTTTTTTTTTATCTTTGCACCAAATACGCTACTTCAAGGAACCTTCGTTTAAATTCCTATGTACGCTTACTTAGCCGCGTTAAAGTGCAAGAAATTTCCTTTTTTCTTGAGATGGTATCTAAATTCTTAATATTGGATTTATATGTAGGGTCGGGCGCGAGTTGGGTTGGATTGGTTTTAAGTCCAACCCAAATCCAACATGTTTGGTTTGATAATAATTCAAACCAAAACATACTCATTCACGGTTGAAACCTAATTCAATCCAAATCAACCAAAATCGGGTTGGTTTGGGTTGGTTTTGATTGATTGGTTTGGACCTGAGTCCAATTCAAGTTGGACAATTTTTTTATGCTTCCAATGGTTGTGACTTTTTTTGTTGAATCTGAACAATTTTTTTAAAGTTTGATACAATTTCAATTTGGACGAATTTCAGTTACATTAAAAATGGAGATTTGAAAGACCTTAAGTCAATTGAAGTTGAATCAATGGTCCGTTGGGTTAAGTTTCATTCTAATATAACAATATAAATTA